TCTTTACGCAGGCTTGATTTTGGCACAGTTCCCAACTTAGGGGTTTTGCCCCCAGATTTAGGGACTAGAAGTATTAAAATGGACATTTTTAGGGGCTGGAATTTTATGGGGATACTTTTAGGGGCTTTTAACAAACTTGCAAATAAATCGAAAAACATAGTCTTTTCTTTTAGTTTTGTGCGTAGAACGCAACGATATGAACTGACTCTGTGGCGCGTTGTTTCCTAAGGCTGTATAGACTAAAGTTCTTTGCCTATCACCAATGGATAAAATAATAAATCAACAACATTTCGGTCTTTCATTCGTTCACGTCATACTCACGTCTCACCATTCATTTTTGTCATTCATTCAATAAAATAATTTACTGTAACTAAACATGTAACGTTTCAATTTATGAGCAACGAAAGAATTTAGATAATAAGTAGGTACATATAAAATTCTATATTTAGGGGATTTTTGGGAAATTTAAAAAATACTTAGGGGAAAATTTTGGTAAGGGTTGGTAACACAGGATTTGGGGAGTAAGCTGGCGAACGCGTTACGCGTTACAAAAAGTGGGGATATAAGCAAGAGAAAGCAGTGCGTGCGCACATTTTCTTTCTCTCTCTCTCTCTTAAAGCTAGTAAATGAAATATGTGTATGATACACAGATGAAGCTAAAGAAGTTTCACTTTAGTCGTGTGGTAAGCACTCGTTTTTTTTTTTTATTTATTTAATCTTATATCGATAGTTCCAAAAACTTTCGATAGTGCTTTTCTATTGTTAGTATTGCACCCTCTATAATACGCTAAAATTCGATACTATCTTTTGTGTTCTTTGTGAAATATGGTTAATTTGATTGATATATTTTTAATTATAAACATACACAGTGACGACAATTACTTTTGAGAAAGTGTTCTTTTCGAAGTAAAACTTCTTCAGGCGCGCTTGACTTGGGGAGTAAACTGGAGAATGTGTTACGATTTCGCTTTACGATTAGTGTCATTGGTGACTCATCGGTAAACAATGAACAATACCCGTCACAGAATACATGAATCTAGTGCTTGGTGGGCGATAACGGACCCGGTGCGAATTGGTGGGCGATAACGGACCCAGCACGGATTGGTGGGTGGTAACGTACCCAGCGCGGATTGGTGGGTGATAACGGACCCAGCGCGGATTGGTGAGTGATAACGGAACCAGCGCAGATTGGTGGGCGATAATGGACCCAGCGCGGATTGGTGGGTGATAATGGAACCAGCGCGGATTGGTGGGTGATAATGGAACCAGCGCGGATTGGTGGGTGATAATGGACCCAGCGCGGATTGGTGGGTGATAACGGACCCAGCGCGAATTGGTGGGTGATAACGGACCCAGTGCGGATTGGAGGGTGATAACGAACACAACGCGGATTGGTGGGTGATAACGGACCCAGCGCGGATTGGTGGGTGATAACGGACCCAGCGCGGATTGGTGGGTGATAACGGACCCAGCGCGCATTGGTGGGTGATAACGGAACCAGCGCGAATTGGTGGGTGATAACGGATTTAGCGCGGATTGGTGGGTGATAACGGACCCAGGGTGGATTGATGGGTGATAACGGAAGGATTTTTTTCTATCAACAAATCTTCAGGTTAAGTTTAAAATTTTCAAATCATTGGAGCTAAAGAAGTTTCACTTCTGTCGTGTGGTCAATACACACTACAAAAAGGTATGTGATTAAAACACCAAATCAGTATAAACCCTTTTATTTCGTCGTCGATAATCTCACTTTACACCTATATCATATTTACAAACACCCCTCAAGGTACACAGTACAGTTTAAAAATAAATAAAGAGAAAAGGACATTTATAATAACATTTCCGATACATTCATAACTAGGATAAAATATTTAAAACGAAAAAACAAAATCACAAAAATATAATCTGTAACAGCCACGTGTTTTAATCTCAAAAGAGAAATTTCCTTTTTTTTATAGATAATATAAAAAGTTGCTTAAAATATAAATTATCTAAATAAATTCTACTGGTATCGCCATAGTGTAAAGTTATTAACCATAGACTTAAAGAATAGAATGAACATACCGTGTCAAACTGTAAATTAAAAAGCAATGAGATAGAAAAGTGATCGGTTGTTTTTTCTTAGTCTATGGTTATTACAGTATTTTTTATTTTTTCCACATTATTAACCTATCATCCTTGGATATCTTTTAGCTAATGGTAGCTACCGCAAACTAAAATGGCAATATAAATTTTCATATTACACAAAAGTGACAAGCTTACATAAAAAAAAATACCAAATTAAACAACAAAATATTATATATATATATTGTTTTAAACTTTCATGGTCACTAACATTATAGATATTAACGGGATTGTTACCATGTACCTTGTTGTTTATGAGTCTCCGATATTTCGGCACTGTTGCAAGCGCCATGATCACGGAGTAACTGAGTACTGAGTTACTCTCAGTTACTCCGTGATCATGGCGTAACTGAGTACTGAGTTACTCCGTGATCATGGCGTAACTGAGTACTGAGTTACTCCGTGATCATGTCGTAACTGAGTACTGAGTTACTCAGTGATCATGGCGTAAATGAGTACTGAGTTACTCTCAGTTACTCCGTGATCATGGCGTAACTGAGTACTGAGTTACTCCGTGATCATGGCGTAACTGAGTACTGAGTTACTCCGTGATCATGTCGTAACTGAGTACTGAGTTACTCCGTGATCATGGCGTAACTAAGTACTGAGTTACTCGGTGATCATGGCGCTTGCAACAGTGCCGAAATATCGGAGACTCATAAAAAAACAAAAGGTACATAACTAGATAACAATCCCGTTAATATCTATAAAATAGTATATCTTCAAAGCTTCAAAATTGAAGTTACTTTATCAGTACAGTTGATTCACAATGTTGTTCTAACGTCGTTTGGTAACTAATTAGGCTTAACACAATTGGGCCCTGCCAACGTTCCACTAAAACGGAATCATATTATCATCATCACATAAATCATTCACACACTCAGAGACGTCAATTAAATTTAACACTTGTCATAGTGATGTGTTGCTTTTATTCTTCTTCTTTAATAAGTGTCTTGTTTGCGTTTTCCACAATTTAATGCAGCTTTAAGTGTATTTGAATATGGTTTCTATCTTCTAAATATAAAATTCTTGTGTCACGTTGTGCGTAGTTGAACTACTCCGAAACGGCTCGACCGATTTTCGTGAAATTTTATGTGCATATTCAATAGGTCTGAGAATCGGACAACATCTATTTTCATCCCCCTAAATGTTTAAGGGTGGTCGCTTAAATTTTTTTTTGACATTTTTTTGTTTTTATTGTTTTATGATATATCATACAAAAATACATACAATCCTAAATTGATGTAACCTGTAGCCGATAATAAATATGTTTAAGACCTCTTAATTGTATGTAATAGGGTATTTGACAGTATTAAAAATAAAGTGCCAATTGTTAGCATCTCTGTGTTTGGAATGAATATTGGCAGGGGATTTTACTATTTTTGCAAAAAAAATATTCATAATTTTACTAAAAACTCACGAAAAAGATAATAGTTTTCTTATCTATTGTCACGTGACCCAAAACGCTTGGGATTGGCGGAGCCTAAAATGACGTCACACGCAAGTAAACTTCCGGTTAAAGTGACATTACATTGTATCGTTTGACGTTTTAATAACAGTCGTGTGGCGTCACACACTAGTAAGACACCATATTGTCCAAAGAAACGTTTTCGCGGCAACTTGAAAATGGAGTTTTTGATTTGGTTATTTTTACTGAAATACACAACAGAATGATGAATATCCACTTTTTACGGACTCCAAAAACATTAGTCAATAACGTGAGATTGTTTTCTAAAACTTGTCAAATACCCTATTACCGTGTTATTTGCAGAATAAATTATTTGAATTTGATTTGATAAGAAAACTCAATATTTTGACTGTATTTTACTGTAAACTGTACTGTAAACAATTTTCAATAAATTTTTTCGTCATATATTTTTGTTTTGTTTGTATTAATTTGAAAGCGGCATTTTTTAAGGAGAATTAAAAATTATACTACTTTTGAAATTCATGCTTATCAGATGCGTTCCGTCAAGTCAAGTACCCAAACATAGCCATTTATTAACTAATTAAATTTAATAACGTGTGACCTTAATCTATGGTAATGTTGAAGTAACTAGTAGACAAGTTTTATCTACTCGTGTCCATTAAGAAAAGAAACAATTTCTTTAAGTTATGGAGACATTTGACACATGCATGTTGATGAATATACATAGTTATGTTTTAAAACATATTATTAATAATTGACCTAAAGTTGATTTTCCATCATCTAAACTAATTTTGGATACTAGTACTGTATACTATGATTTTAATATAAACAAAAGATATCTACGACAATTTAACATGAAACGGAAGAAGTAAAACTTCAACCCATGTTATGTCATTCAATCGAAAGATGTTCTAGTCAAACATATGTAAAGAAAGAGACACTGTTGTCTCATTCATTCATTCATTGACATATCCAATGACAATTCTACCAATGTCGAGTAAAATTAACTTCAAATAACTTACATCTTTTGTGAGGCTGCCACAAAATGCATGCAAGTTATTTTCAACGAAGAACCAAATAATTGAAAATCTATTTGAAATTTTAACTTCTGTGTGTACGGTAAGGATCAGTGTGTAGTTATAAAAAACGTGGTCGCTTGACGTTACAGAAATTATGAAGAAGACATTGGGTCTAATTTTGGCATAATTCTGTTAAATTTAATAAAAGTTCTTCGTTTTCATTCTCTATAAAGCGTGACAAGGACATACTACTGTCAAATTTAGTTGTAGGTTTACGGAATTATGCCACAATCAAGTCCAATTTTTACAGTCAACATGACAACTAAACATCCAAATCAAAATTTTCAATCCCATTTTGAAGATAAAGGCTCCATCAACGAGCATAATTATTCCGCTTACTGCATAATATTGAAACTCTAATAGCCATGTTAATTCTGACAGGCGATGACAGACGGCTCGCTGACAGCTGTCACGTTGTTGACACTCGGAGTGGCGTTAGCTACGGAAGTGATGCTAGTGGAAGTATTAGTAGTAATGTTGGTAGTGCCGTTGGTAAGGGCTGGAGTGTTGGGAATAGCTTCTTTGTCCAGTGGACGATATGCCCAATTCCCAGCGCCGTCGAATTCCAATACGTGCGTGTGGTATTTCCTATTTGGCAAATATGTTGGCGGTTAATTTAGATGTTGTGATTTTGGTTCTTATAAAACGAATTAGAAATAATATGGAAAATGAACTGCGCTAAAAAGTGGTTCCACGCAAACTGAGATCAAGTGGGCGGGGCGAAAAAAAGGCGATCGTCAAGCCGATCATGGGATTGTTTAGAATTTCCGTTGGATAGCCGAATTCATTTGCAGATATTTGATTTGTCAAAGTATTTTGTTTTGGCTGTGTGCGTGTTGCGTTAGGAGTGAAGTTTAGTTGAATGAGTTTTGACTCATGTTTTTAGAGAGTAATGCTTCCATATCATTTCCAATTCGTTGTTCATAAAGCATAAAGTTTTATATAGAAAAAGTTTACGAAAAGAAAGGACTTTCGACTTTCGGCATTCAATAGGGCCATTTCTGACATGATTATTTTAACTCAACTAAATTCAACATCATACTCTACTTTTCATTCTCTATTAAGTATGATAGACATGCTAATATGAAATTTAGTTGAAGATAAAGAGAATCCAATCAGAATCAGTTCCATCGTAGGCTGTATAAACTATTATATGAACACTTCCAATTAAAATTTAAACACAAATAAAATCTTAACTGAGCGCAAATCTACATGGCTATAGTAATTCATTTCTTCATTATGAATTAGTCAAGGTGTTTTGGTACCATTTCATTGAGTACGCCGCATTAAATAAATACTAAAATCTGACATTACAGTAGATAGACTTTACATGAATGTCGACTCGATCGAATGCTTTAACAAAAACGAAACACTTATAATATTTAATGAAAGAGTGACTTACCAAACGCTAGGTCTATGCGTGATAGATAATAGAGTGATGCCTTCACGCACCGCTTCGGAGTACATCACCACCTCTGTTTCCATGGAAACGGCACTCGTGCACTCGTCTAATAAAGCGTACACTGGCCTGTAACATAAATATATAGATAAATAAATACATAATTCTAACACACACCAAACAGGAGATGTTGCATCTTTTATTAAACATGACCTTATTCGAATTTTGAGAAAGAAAGAGAAGTACATATGAATGTATTGCGTTGTATCATTCCTTCGATTCAAACTTAATTACTACTATTAAGTTTACATATTCGAATATTCGTTACCTCATCTTAAAATAAACTAGAGTTTGTAGATTAATAGATCTACTGAGGAAAAATACCCAATTTTGTGTGGCAAGCTGAATCCTCAAACCATCGACTCTTTTAGAAGTACTCGGGAATTAGTAATTACCTATTTATTGCTATCAACTAAAAGTATTCTTTACAGTACGACAAAAACGCACATTATTTATGTATGACAAATTGAATGAATAAAGTAGCAGATTTTTTCGAATTTGCAAACTAGCGAGATTGTTTTTGTATTCGATTGTTTATATGAGTAGTATCCATTCGACCATTTTATTATTGGAATCAGTAACAATCACCCATCTTTATTTTTGATACTTTGCAAATTCTGTTAGGTGCCCAACTATGAGTATTCTGCGCAAACGACAATTTAACAATTAAATCTTGTAATTTGAAGTTCGGGCTTATTGAATAAAGCATAGCATTTTTTGGATGTTGTATTGTTCATCTCTCGGTTTTTGTTTCCACCTGCGGGTTACCATAGGGCAGTGTAATGAGTCCAAGATTGTTCTCATCTATAGGGTCCCTCAGGGCAATACACTAGAGCTGCAATTGTTCTCACATGAAGGCGTCCCTCAAGGCACTACATTAAGACCACTTTTATTCTCACCTGTGATTAGGGTTACTATTTAAAAATTTGAACAGTCCTGACAAAAACCGGACATTTCGATAAAAGTCCGGGTATTTTAGCCACAAAATGCAAACATCACCCACTTAGTTACAGTGATATTATACGCGTGGTAGCAGACGCTCGCATCGCGAGGGGGTCTCGTTGTTGATTTTTAAAGATAATTTATATTTTGTTATAAATTAATGAGAACTTAATAAAGATTATTTGAATTATTTGGTATAACTTAATAAGTAGTTTTACTCATATTCCATCTAATTAAAAAATATCCAGATAAATTAAAAAGCCGGTCAAAGTCCGGACAAAAGGCAAAAATTCCGGTCATGTCCTGACAAATCCGAACGGATGGTTACCCTACCTGTGAAAGAACATTCGCGCCATAGCCAGTCGTTGTTTCTCGCCGCCAGAGAGCGTGGCACGCCAGTCAGTCTGGGCATGCAGGCCGCCATGCCTGGCAGCGCAGGCCTCCAGTCGCACGGCTCGTAGCACGCGGCGAGCTCGGGCTTCCGCTTCCGGTCCTCGGCAGACCCACGGGTATGTGATCTGTTCTAGTAGAGTGCCTTCGGACATGTAAGGCCTGGAAATATAATTGACCGTTAATGCAGTATCAGTGTAGCTATAAAAAACAAGTAAACATTAAATCCAATATAACAAAAAACTATATTTAAAAAATAGACGTGAGAAAGTGCGAGACGGACTCGCGCACGCAGGGTTCTTTATCATTATCTATACAACATTAGACACTATATATTATGATCATCATCAGCCTATTAATGTCCCCACTGCTGGGGCACAGGCCTTCCCTATGGATGGAATAGGGAGATTGGGCCATGACCCACCACGCGGGCCCAGTGCGGATTGGTGGGTGCTAACGACTGCAGATGCAGCCGGGACCAACGGCTTAACGTGCCTTCCGAAGCACGGAGGAGCTCGAGATAGTAATTTTTGGTCACCCATCCAATGGCCGACCACTGCGAAAGTTGCTTAAGTTCAACGATCGCAGCCGAACGCGCTAACCACTTGCGCCATCGAGCTCCTCTGTATATTATCATACCGAACACAAAACGTTTGTTGTATGGGAGTCCCTCTAAAATATTTTTTTTTTCTGTTTTTAGTATTTGTTGTTATAGCGGCAGTATAAATACACAATCTTTGAAAATTTCAACTGTCTAGCTATCAAGGTTCATGAGATGCAGCCTGGTGACAGACAGGCCGACAGACGGATGGTGGAGTCTTAGTATAAGGATACCGTTTTACTCTTTAGATACGGAACCTATAAAACTGTTTTTGGAGCACATATCCTTACTAATATTATAAAGGCGAAAGTTTGTTTGGATGGATGTATGGATGGATGTTTGTTCCTCTTTCACGCAAAAAATACTAAACGGATTTTAATGAAACTTTACAGTAATGTAGCTTATAGATCAGAATAACACATAGGCTACTTTTATTCCGAAAAAAATGTTAGGTTCCAGAGGGATTTCCAAGAAACTTAGTTAACGCAGACGAAGTCGCGGGCGACCTCTAGTAAGTTAATATTTTACTATTATTTGTTGAACGTAAGGTTCTTGTATAAATTATTTAATACCTATGCGATAACTATAAAGAGAATGCATATTTTATAATTTACTTTTTTATTTCATCCGAACACATATTAAAAAAAAAACATTTGATATATTTTAGAAGATACGAATATATCAAGTAAATGGTAATTTGATTAAAATAAATAAGTCATTCGCTAAACCGGTTAAAATGGTATAAGTTAAATACAATACCCTCAATATGTCTGCTAATACGATAACTACGATGTTCAACACAGGAATTCCAAAAATTGTGTTAAATTAAATAAAAAAAATCATGTCTAGAGAATATTCTACTTGAGATAAAACCAACTGAGCCCAGTAACTAAGATATCGGTTGATACCTGGCCAAAAGTATAACAGTTTAGACAATTGAATGTACTATGCGATTCAAATAAGAATAGGAATGCCAATGACCTCCATCTGTCAAATGTCGCTTGAAAAGTACGGTTTGCAAAAAAAACTTCGCACACTCTTTTTAGCACTGAGCTAATCTAAGAATAAATACCAAACATTTGTAAACAAAATGTAACGTGTTAAAAACGTTACATGAATCTCCTTCGCTCGAAGAGCGAGATAGAAGATTTTTTTTAGGTTGTCTCTCTGGTCGTTTTTATCTCAAGTCCATTTTCTTTAATCTGTGCACTTTTGAATTATTATGTTTCTGCCTTTATCAAGCAGTAGGCTGTATGGACGTTGTTCTCTTTGCCTTCCCGGCAAGAGAAAACAAACTTAAGAAAAAACTAATGTCACTTCACTTCACGACCAAAATTTTTACGTAAAACATGTAAGATAATTAATCTTAATTTTTTAACTTGATAATCCATTGGATTGTCGATTGTTTTTAATGATAAGAAATTTTGCGTCATTTGCACGGAATGGCGATAGCCATATCTCAAGCTTAATATGTTTGTAAAACGCGTTTTTTTATTTGGATTATTTATTTGGATTTTTTTTATTCAAACTTCAACATTTCCCATGACGTGGAGGTGAACCCACGTGATGTAACAACGGCCATCCCTTAAATATTTACAACACCAGACATATACTACCCAGATCAGATGCAGCGAGGTCGGTAACATTCTAATAATAAGGTAAATTTTCATTAAATTCTTAGTAGCATCACAGTAATATAATAGTTTCTAAATTTAGATTTAACCCTTTTGGACTTAAATAATTTTGGACTTAAAATTTCAATATATAGACAACCTAAAATGAATATGGATTTGCATTAAACTCCCTTTGCGATTAATAGTCCTATGCTTTCCCGGCTAATAATATGGTACCGGCGTATTCTTTTATAATTAATTTCGGCCTGTCCATTCAAAAAATTATTATTTTTAACTATTACAATTGTCACCATACCATTTTATTTTTAATATTACAAAAAGAAGGAAATAAATCGTATGAAACGTAAAGAAAATGAGTACTGGCAAACGGAAATGTACCTTAAATATTACTTACTATACTATAACTTTAGTTTTATTATAAGTACAGGTAGTAAAAAGACCGTTTTTATTTTAAATAAAGTTGTCGTTTTAAAACCTGCAATATTCGATAATTTATTTTATAGGCGAAAGCATCAGTGATGATGATGATGACGATGATGATACTCCGACGGTAGGACAGAAATGAGCGGAATTAAAGAGCTAGATTCTGATTAATGTTGTTTTCTGATTATTAAAAATCTGATATTTTTTCTCACTTAATCTTGGTAAATAAGTTTTATTAAAGAAAAACTTTTTTGCTCACTCTACCTAACTGGTTTGAATTGACAGCTATGACGTCACATTAAGGAGCACAGTCGGTTCTATTCTTAGTTGAATTGCAATGTATTTCATTTACCTCTGCGGTATGTAGAACATTATAGGGCGGGAGTTGCAGGCGACGGGCTGCAGCGAAGCGGAGTCGTCTGCGCAATATTCGCAACTACAAGGTCTCGGCACTGCCAGCTGACCACCAAATACTGGCCACAGACCGGAGATAATGCGGAACAAACTGGCGATAGAAACAGACGAGATATTATGTTAAACACTTTCTTTTTTTTTCAACACACACCAATTAGCCTAGCCCCAAAGTAAGCACTATAAGGCTTGTGTTATGGGATGCTAGGGTAACGGATAGAATACATATACCTACTGCACATATACAGGGTGTAAAAAAACCTTTAACGAAGTCGAAGGCCACATATTTTCCGCATCGTGACGATCATTTTTTTCTTCTGAACCATACCTGGGTTTATGGTTATGGAGATATTGAAGGTTAAAGTCACATTTTTTTTCAATATTTTTACAAAAACGTTATTTAGAAACTTTTTTATCGACCCACATACACACACGCACACATATAGACACAGGCACATTAGTTGCTACAGTAGCGCGCCGGGCTATAAATTGCGTACAGGAAAAAAATATGTATATTTTTACTTAAAAATACAAATGTTTTCCACATATAATATTTTGTAATATTACTTGTTTGGATGTATATAATGCATAGTTTTAGTCTTTGTCATAGGTTTTTTACACCCTGTATAAGTATATTTATATAGAAATACATATTAAACATCCATGACTGTACAAATGCTCATGTTCATCAGACAAACATCTGCCCCCACCGGGATTCGAACCCGGGACCTTTCGAGTCAGCGCCACCATGACACCCGGCCACGGAGGTCGTCAGAGACAGACACAGACACTCAACGACAACGATATGGGATGAAGTGAAACATTTATTTGACAGTGTGAAAAATAAAGTATCAATGGTTGTCCTCTGTGAAGGCCGAAACAGACTTTTGAAACGCGACGCCATGCGGTACGTTTCTAGTCAAATCAAATGTAATATATTCTATGATCGGGACCCATTAGGCACATCCGACGAGACGGGATGAGCACACTCTGATCATTAAAAATACGCGTCGCATAGCGTCGCATTTCAAAAGTCTATCTTGGACCTTAATCGTAACATATGTTTAGTACATGATAAATTATGTATGTTATAGGTTGTATGTCCCTTATAATACATTTGTATGATTAAAAGTGTACCCGTCTGTCTGTATCCGTATCTGTATCGAATAGGGTATTTGACAGTATTAAAAATAAAGTGCCAATTGTTAGCATCTGTATTTATGCAGTGCGGCGTAAGGGCGAAAGTGCAACGACATCTGCACTTGTTTACAAGTTATGCGCGTTACCTGCGTAGATATAAGTAGGTACTTCGTACTCGCGGGTGCTAGTTAATTCTCAATTTAACAGGTACTTTCTAGAATGCGTCGATCGTCGTATATAAGCGCGATTGGCGCCGCGCAGAGACAGTTGAGTTTCAACAGCGATTTCGGAGCGAATCCAAAGGCAATCAAAGTGCAACAAAAGTATTCCAGTGCGATAGTTTACTGACTTGAATAGTGAAATACAGTGTTTAGTGAGTGTTTTGTAATTAACATTGTGTGTTAATTGTGTGAACTGAGTGGTGAATAAAGAACTGTCAATCGTGAACTGGCATATAAATTCGAACTCCATCCCGACACGTAACAATGAAATGTAGCTCACCTAGACTTGCCGCAGCCATTAGGCCCGACTATAAGCAGATGTGTCCCAGGCGCTAGGGTGAGAGACAACCCGCTGGCGACCACTTCGCACGCGGGCGTCACTATGGGCACGTCTCGTAATACGATCGATAAATCGTCCGTGTATGTCACTTTACCTGCATACAAACGTAACAACCATTAAATATTGTTATTTTAATTTTTTAGTTTACTAGAAAAAATCCGACGCAGTCCGGGCAGCGGACGGGACTCGAACTCGCACCTTTCGCTATCCGAGCGAATGCACTGACCATTATGCTACCTACTATTGTGGGTTACCTACAATGCGAAGAGGCCGATACACAAACATCAGGGCCGCGGTAGCATAATGGTCAGTGCATTAGCCCTGATAGAGAAGGGTGTGGTTCGGGTCCCGTCTGCTGCCTGGTCCGCGTGGGATATTTTCTAGTAAATTTTTCTTTTGATGTAACCATTTAATATATAAATTCTAGTAGGTGTCCGCGACTACGTCTGCGTGAAAATATTAGTTACCAGTCTTTCAGGTATATCGAAAATATATACGAAAAAAATTTGGTTGTGCAAAGTTCACCGGATTCAACTAGTATTGGAATTGGTAGCTATATGCATGAGACGTTACCAATGTTGAATGTAAAGCAAAGATAGTATATAACCTAAGAATGATAGCAATATAATGAGTTTAGGCTGCAATTCATTTATTTATTTTATTTATTTATACTTTATTGCAAAATTAATGGTTTTTAATGTTTTCTCTGTTCGTTGTCTGCCGTTTCATTTTCTCTGCACCTTCTTTACGGTTGACTGGTAGAGAATGCCATACTGGCATTAAGTCCACCATTTGCATTGTAAAGGCAATAAAAATAAATAAATAAATAAAAACAGCAAACGGCGGACATACTGCCATAAGGCATTCTCTACCAGTCGACCAGTAAGAGCGTGAGAAATAAATATACGGGGGTGCAATAAGGACATATGCTTAAAAAAACCAGGTGATATATATATCAATAGAATACACAAATATTAAAATAATATACACTGGTGTCAATTCTGACATGATTCTCTAAACCTAAACTTAAATTTGACAACAGTGTATCCTTGTCATTCTCTATACGGAATGAAAAGGAGAGATTGATGTTAAATTTAGTTTTAAGTTTAGAGAATCACGCCAGAATCGACACCAATACATACATAAATATACAAATAATTATGCCAGTCAAATATGACAACGCAGATTAATTAAATTAAGATGATGCTCACGAACCAATCCCTTGCAATTGCAATTTCCTTGTTTTATTCCTGAAATTTAAAACTTAACTCACCCATGGGCACAGGCTGGTTGTCCTTAAACGTGACTTGGAAGGAAGCCGTAGGGCAGGGCGCGACATGCACAGTTCGTACACATTTCCCGCGCGCCACTTCACCGAATACTGTGAGCATGTCCGACACGCGGGTCGCGTACCCGGCCAGTGTCACTACCTCCTACAATATCAGACGTTTATGAATGAATGAAAGATTTATTTTCTCTCACAAAGTCACAAGGTAAGATTATAAAGAAAAGTTTACTAGAAAAAAATCCACGCGGACCAGGCAGCGGACGGGACTCGAACCCGCATCCTTCGCTATCCGGGCGAATGCACTGACCATTATGCTACCACGGCCCTATTAGCCGCGTCGAAATTTTCCTAGCCTTAAGCTGCAAGGCAGCGCCATCTCTTCGCATTGTAGGTAACGCACAATGTCAAATGAATACTTTTTCAAGTAAAAGTTGAAAGAAGAAATTGTGGGTTACCTACAATGCGAAAAGATGGCGCTGCCTTGCAGCTTAAGGCTAGGAAAATTTCGACGCGGCTAATAGGGCCGTGGTAGCATAATGGTCTGTGCATTCGCCCGGATAGCGAAGGATGCGGGTTCGAGTCCCGTCCGCTGCCTGGTCCGCGTGGATTTTTTTCTAGTAAACTTTTCTTTAGATTTAAACATCTAGCAGTTAAATGCTTCAAAAATAAATAAAATCATAAGTAAGATTATAATTAAGTTTTTACTTAATACCCTTTTGGGTATTGACAATAACAGTAAAAACAATGCAGTTCTTTGAGAGAACTGGAGATTGTACTAGGTTGCAAATACAAAACCTGTGTTACGACCCCCAGGCTCAAATGCTCTTAAAGCCCGTTTGCTAAAGATTCTTTTGCAGAATTCATTTTAATATTTTCTTTTCGTAATCTACCATAGATTATAAGCGAGAGTACATATAAGTTAATGTTACAGAACCATAGTGAATTAATTACAAAGCAAAAGAAAGAAAAAAGATCGGTACCGCCATTTATCAGTAAATGCGGGTTCACTGGATAACGCTTAAATGTCTATATATGTATCATAACCAACGATATTAAATACCCTAGATACACCACGAGCGCTCAAAACGTGTCCCTAACAAGAAGTGCTTGAACACGACTCAAGCACTTCTTGGTTCACAGTCACGCGCGGACCGTTGAAAAGTCAACATACCGCTGAGTTCCATGAAAAAATTCGAAATAAATACTCATAGTATGTAAAGAGTCGCTTTTTCGACAGGTATCTAATCAATGTTGGTCAATTTAACGCATTTGAAGCAAAATTTGTTTTCATACTTACTATAAACTGATTTAATAGAAAATATGTGCGATATTCAAATGCATGGTCGGTTATAAAGCCGTCTCTTTTCCTCGCGGTCCGTACCTGCTTTATTGCTAACAGCACATTCAGAATTGCGCGTAGAGTCAAAGAAATAATGTCTATATTTTTCCGCATGTAGCAATAAGTCGTAAAATTTTACGAGCTTACATTTCGGACTATCACAACTCTTTGACGCATGTGATTTAATTAAGACCTTATACAGTGTGCTTTAAAGGTAATTTTCAATGTTAAAATAATGCCTTATATTGTTTAGACTGCGCGATCATCTTACGGAGCTCCGTAAATCGTCCAATGTACCTTTTGGACAGGTTTAGGGTACAATTTTGTTCGTGTTGGTGTATCTAATATCGTTGATCATAACTAGAGATCGGATAATTGGATTCATATTAACTTAAAGTTATTTTGACGTGATAACGTCTAATAAATCGATGAACAGCGGCTGCACGCACGAATAAGTGTCACGTTCCGCCTGAGCCTGAGCGTGCAAGCGAGAGCGCGGAACAAGAGATAGAGTAGAATTCTCGTGTGACGTCAGAACTAGCAATATATAACGGCTGCAAAACGTGAGTCGCCGTCAAATAGAATCCATAAGTGTCTTGCCTATCAAAAAACACACACATACTAGAGATATCAGTTCTTTGAGTAACCACTAGAGGCGCTGTACAATTTTCCAAACAAATCGGTGACGTGTCGCTAACGAGAATTGTAACATAGCAGTACCCTTAGCACGAACCGTTATCGAATTCGAATAGTTGAATTCGATTTAGATATACGTCAAATATGTACTGTTTATAGTTCTCGTTACGTCCGTTGTGGCGCTGCTGTTCGAGTTAGTATACAAAATTTGACAATGACATTTCGCCCTCGCAAACTTAACAGATTCGATATTGGATCGTGCTAAGAGTACTGTACCCTTAGCACGATCCAATATCGAATTCGAATAGTTGAATTAGTTCTCGTTACGTCCGTTATGGCTATGCTGTTCAAGTTTCCATAAATGACAATGACATTTCGCACTCGCAAACCTTTAGAATTCGATACTGGAACGAAAGTATCCTACGCGACAAATTCCAAGAAGTATAGTTTAGAAATTTGAACAGCACCACAACGGACGTAAAGAGAATTAAAAATGTTCCATAAAAAACTTTGTAACGTTTCACGAGTATCGAGATCGAATTCAACTATTCGACAAAGATATTGGTTAGAGCGAAAGACATTGGTTCGAATTTCACCTAGATCAAACCGTAATTCCCCCGCTATAAATCACTTTAAAATCGACCTTCCTACATTATAAATAGGGTTCAGTTTACCTTGTAGCTGGACATGAGCCTCTCAATAGCGTCGGCGGCCGAGTTAAGCAGATTCCGAGACGTCGTCATATATTCCGTTCGTGAGCTTATGTTGTCTTCTGATGATCCTGAAACAAATTTAAAAAATATTATATTAATAAATAAATTCAATTCCTTTGTAAATGGTAAAACATTTCTCAGAATCTTTAAAACACTTTGTTGCATATTAAATTATGCAGAACTGTCCAGCATCAGGGCACAGCAACTCCCATCGCTAATATACCAGTGCCACAGGTGGGTAATGTCCCCTGCTGCCTGGCGGATTCATAAATACGCACTATCATCAACACTCCATTAAGCCAGAAACATATTAACGTGTCGTGACGTGGCGCATCGGTTTCATACATTTATTATGGGTTAGAGAGAGATAGAGAGGTTAGAGCGTCGACACGACACGACGCGTTAATATGTTTCTGGCTTTAGTTATATACTCATGGAGTGATGAAATCACTCGCCATGTCAAGAAACGGCGCTAGCGACGGCGGTCTCAATAGTAAAGAAAGACTACATCGCGCTAATGAAATTCGGAGGCTAACATACATATATCCAACCAACATCGGTCATGCCGCGGCCCCTAAGCTAAGATCACCCAGCTATGAGGAAGATCTTCCCTTTTGACTTCTCTACACTGGCCATCGCTGTTGACTGGAGGTAAAGACTCCGGCATCAGGCCACAACCGGTTGTCGTCTTTATGTCGACGACCGTAAGGTTGGTAATATCTCACCCGCATGTTCCCTGGTTGTGACATGAACACGTCCTATATATATAACTAATGGAGTGATGAAATCACTCGTCTTGTCAGGAAATGGCGCTACCGACGGCGCACTTTATACAATGGAAATGCTACATCGCGCTGATGAAATTTGAAGGTAAACTTATATATACAGAGCTCGACCAACATCGGTCAGGTCCCGACCCCCAAGCTAATATTACTTACCTCGGAGATACATATTTCACTTTGGTCTTCCTACACTGATCATTAGCCTAAGGTAAGCATCAGGCCACAACCGATTATAGTCTCTATGCCCAGGGCCGTAAGGTCGGTAATGAGCCACTGTTGTGCTGCCTGGAGATAATATTTGCAGTTTTGCACGCTTCACTCAATTTGGCAAGAGGATAGAAAGTCTACATCGCGCTAGTGAAATTCGGAGGTTAACACATATATACAGAACTTCACCAGCATCGGTCAGGCCGCGATCCCCTAACTATATTACTCAGCTCGGAGAAAGATCTTTGGCTTTGGTCTTCCTACGCTGGTCATCAGCCTAAGGTAAGCTTCAGGCTACAACCGATTACAGTCCCTGTGCAAAAAGGGCCGTGTAAGGCCGGTAATGTCCCACTGTTGTGCTGCCTGGTGGTGGGTGATATCACCACACTTCACTCACCCTGGCAAGAGGAAGGAAAGGCTACATCGCGCTATTGAAATTCAGAGGTTAACACATATATACAGAACTTGACCAACATCGGTCAGGCCGCGGTCCCCGAGCTAATATTATCCATTTCGGAGGCAGATCTTCCCCTTTGGCCTCCCTACACCGGTCATCACTCTAATGTCGAAGACCGCAAGTTGCCTGGAGGCGAGGACTTTCAGTATCCGGCCACAGCCAATAATAGTCTCTATGTGTATGGCGATAAGGTTGGTAATATCTCACCCGCATGCTGCCTGGCGGTGAGGATGGGCAGCGCCAGCATGACCATGCCGGTGCCGCTCCACACGTACTTCATGCAGAACTGCTCCAGCATCACGTACCACAGCTTCTGCCGGAACACGCCCGCCATTTGCTGTACGAGACGTTTGTACGCCGCTTGTAGCTGGCCGTGCTCCACCTGCGAGGGGACGAAAACAAAGTTACAAAAACTATAAACAGGCTTGCTGAATTTCTTTTTTTTTATGTTATAGGGGGCATACGAACAGACGGCTCACCTGATGGTAAGTGATCACCGTCGCCCATGGACACTTGCAACACCAGGAGTATCACAAATGCGATACCGGCCTTTAAGGAAGGAGTACGCTCTTTTTTTGAAGGTTTTTGGGTCGTATCGGTCCGCAAATACTGCTGGCGACAATATATTCCACAGTTTTGTCGTACATGGTAAAAAATTTCGACAAAAACGCACGGTTGTGGATAGCCACGCATCAAGATGATGGGGATGAAATTTTTGTCGCGATGTACGATGGCGAAATGCAGCAGCTGGGATTAATCCGAACAATTCCTCAGAACACTCCCCGTGATAAATGCGATAGAAGATGCAGAGCGAAGCTACATCCCTACGCAAAGCCAAAGGATCAAGCTGATCGGAAAGGTCCTGGTCGTCGACGATTCGAGCCGCTCGACGCTGGATGCGATCCAAAGGGAGAAGCTGGTACTGGGGTGCCCCCGCCCAAAGATGAAAGCAGTACTCCATGTGAGGCCGAACCTGTGCCTTATAAAGCTGCAGTCGGTGGGCCGGTGTGAAGTACATTCTCGATCTATTGAGCACACCAAGCTTCTTAGAGGCCAATTTGGCCTTGCCCTCTAATTGGCCTCTAAGAAGCTTGGTGTGCTGAAAAATCGAGAATGTACTTGCGGGTTCTTCTCAGTACAAAGTCTCCGATTGTAGATTTAAGAACCGGTGGCATAGCGTTTGATATTCACATGCGTTTGTAACAGCCAAAACTTTGAATTTGAGTGTTTACTCTACACTTGTAAATGTTTGATAGAAGAAGAAGCCTACTTAATGTAATAAAAGGTGATGGATGGCAAATAAGAGATTTATTGATCATCATGATCATCATCATCATCATCAGCCTATTAATGTCCCCACTGCTGGGGCACAGGCCTACCCTATGGATGGAATAGGGAGATAGGGCCATGACCCACCACGCGGACCCGGTGCGGATTGGTGGGTGCTAACGACTGCAGATGCAGCCGGGACCAACGGCTTAACGTGCCTTCCGAAAAACGTCGGAGCTCGAGATAGTAAATTTTTGGTCATCCATCCAATGACCGACCACTGCGAAAGTTGCTGAACTTCAACGATCGCAGACGAACGCGCTAACCACTTGCGCCATCGAGATTTATTGATAGACATAAATAATAAACACTGCAGTTGCTCGAGATTCATCTGCATTTTAGGGCTACTGAGGTCAAAGATCTTAAAATTCCGTTCCTAGAGGGCAACCAATCTCCAAATGTCCGCGTTTCGCTTGTGGGAATGTAGTCATACTTAAGCTGGGTCTCCAGCTACACAATCAACAAAAACATATAAACATTCGACAAAACCGTCTACACAAAACTTTGTTTAACTGCACATACGAGGGGAAGTCCAAAAGTTCACAATCAAACCCAACCCCACAAACATCAACCCGGCCATTTTTTTGACAACACGATAGCGGAAGCTGCGTTCCAAGCCTATGCTTCAAATGCAACTTTTCACTCTGACTTTTCAATTTTGACATAAAACGGCGTGTGTAGAACATGTTTTAGAAACAAAGTTTTTTGTTTGTGTTTTTGTTGAATGTTTTCCAAAATATTTTGCTGGAGACCCGGCTTTAGAGGGAAACACTTTGGGCAAACGTTGCCAACGGTTTATGTTTGAGATTTTTTGCGGAATGTAGGTATATCATATTTATACAATGATATTAAATACCCTAGATACAGCAACACGAACAAAATCATGCCCGAAACCTGTCCAAAAGGTACATTGGACTATCCACGGAGCTCCGTAATATGATCGCGTAGTCTAAACAATATAAGGCATTATTTAACTTTGAAAATCACCTTTAAATCACACTGTACAAGGTCTTACTTAAAACGCATCCGTCAAAAAGTTATGACAGTCCGATATGTAAGCTCGTAAAATTTTACGACTTATTGCTATATGTGGAAGAATATAGACGTTATTTCTTTGCTTGTACGCCCAATTCTGAATGCGCTGTTGGCAATATAGCAGGTACGAACCGCGAGGAAAAGAGACGGCTATATTACCGACCATGAATTTGAATATAAACAATGTATTCTATTAAATCAGTTTATACTAAGTATTAAAACTAAATTTGCTTCAAATGCGTTAAATTAACAAACATTGATTATATACCTGTCAAAAAACGTCATTTTACATTCTATAAGCATTTATTTCATATTTTTTCACCGAGTTAAGGGTCATTTTAACTTTTCAACGGTCCGCGCGTGACTGTGAACCAAGAACTGGTCGAGTCGCGTTCAAGCACTTCTCGATCGGGACACATTTTGAGCACACGTGGTACGTCTAGGGTATTTAATATCGCTGTATTTATACTTTTGTTGGGATTTTTTTAAGTTTTCATATTTGACCGGTATTTGGCTAGATGAAAAGTAGTCAAATCATAGTATGATGAGTCAGCAGGCGGAGCGGTCGACTAACCTTGTGTCCCCCGTAGAAGGCCACCTCCTCAGCGTGCGCGATGAGTCGCGCGTGCGCGTGGCGCAGGTTGGCCTTCATGCGCGCCTCCTCGCCGGCCAGCGCTCCGAACCTGGGGGACAGCAGGCGCAGCAGTTGGCCCGTTAGGCAGATCACGACGAACGCTATGCCGGGCCCTACGGTGACAATAACAAAATATAATATTGAGAGATAAGTGAATCTAAAATGGCGACAATTGTGTGAATTTTTTAATAAATTATTTTTAAGTAAAATTTGCTACGGGGTGGCTGAAAAACAGCGTTGGTTCAGGTCTAGGCTTGACCAACATTAGCTGAGCCATTCCCTATTGTCTTATTTTTAATGGAATTTTTATTTAAATATCTGTTGTAACATGTAAAAAAAAGACAATAAATATTATTATTATATTATTATTATTTTATTATATTATTATAAATTTTCACGAATTCTTTAATTTAATTATTTACGAATTTTATACAAATCTGTCAAATTAATGATTACATAATATATTCTTTGATATTTAATGCAATGCAAAAAAATTAAACATATTTGTTGTAATGATCTATGATAATGATGATGATGATGATAAATCTAATCTATTTAAGACCAAAAAACTTTATAAAGGCCATTAAAATCAAAATTTAGATCCAAGTCGAACGAACTGATAACATATTCATGCGTCATGCTCGTGAACGGCTGCTGCTTATAATGATTTATAATAAAAATTTCGGGCAGCTGTTGCTGGCAAAAAGTTAACTTAGATAACGGCTCGCTCAAAAACATTACACTAGTAATGATAATCATAAAATAAAATAGAAATATCCTTCAAAGGACACAATAGCTTTAGTGGTTTACTCTCACATCAAAGTTTACGCACCTTTTTATGAAACTGCATATTCATTTACTAATATTTATCGTAATGTTACAAATTCCATACAGGATGTTACAAAAATACAAATAAAGGTTGAAGGGCGCTGAAGTAAATCATATAAGAAGTCTTCTCTAATTTTCATAAAATATTTGCATGAAATTTTAACCTTTTATAAAAACAGTTATTTTTAGTGATTCATAAAAATATCGATCATTTTAAGACACGTCACTTGTTCGAGGATCATTAAATTTATTTTTAGGATCATTAGATTGTACTTCAACGCCCTTCAAGCTTTATTTGTATTTTTGTAACACCCTGTATAATTTCAAATATTACCACTCAATCACGTGCTCTACTAAAAGTTAATCCACAGTAATCTACACAGTGACTCACCTAAGAATATATTCCCCTTCATCTTGTTTGAGTACGTAGCCAACGTGAGTACAATGAGCAGCAGGTCGAAGCATGGCTTCGTGAGCGAGCTGTACAGATGAGCCACGGACTGCGTGAACACTGACACATCTTCTGTTAACCTAAAAGTGAATAAAAGTCAAGTTTTATAAAAGAAATCGCACACAAAGCACCCGCTTGTACTAAGCTTACGCAACAATATCCGTAAGCTATTTGTTTAATTTCATTAAAACTTTTCCTTTAGTTTATGGTTTTATAAAATATATTTTTGATACTGTCACTGTTACAAATTAACTGTCAATAATAAAAACATACCAAATACGAGAAGACAATTCTTTCTTCTTATTTACTTATACCAAATCCTACAACTCTAATAACCCAAGCAGACAAGCATTATTATAGCTACGTTTACACTATTAACGGGATTGTTACCATGTACCTTGTTTTTTATGAGTCTCCATTTTCGCCGGATCACTCCGTGATCATGACGCTTGCAACAGTGCCGAAATATAGGAGACTCATAAAAAACAAGGTACATGGTAACAATCCCGTTAATAGCTATAATGTTAGTGACCATGAAAGTTTAAAACAAAATATCCGTGAGCATGTGGCACATCCCCAAACTATTGAATCTCAGAACAAGAATTAATAGTTAATAAATAATCAGAAATTGAATTAAAGTTTATATATTTATGTATGATAGGCAAAAAAAATTAATTAATTGTAAATTTAAGTTAAAACTATACAGTATCCCAGTGCTAATTACTGTAAGAATCTCTGTAGTAAATTGATTGATGATGCAATTACTGCATTAGTATTAGTTTAAAATATAACAGGATTGTTTCATTGATTGTTTACCCTAATATAGAGAAAAAAAAAGCATAGAATAGGGGTGATGACGGGGTACAGTAAACGTAATTCTATTTAGTCCGTCAGTTAGATGATCAAAATATAATGGACACGTATTTTTTTCTTTGGGCAATCAACCAAAAAATGACAAAGTTATAGCGCGTCAAAGTTTGGGAGTATGGGCTCTGACGTCACTTTTGTGTGAATTTTCCCTTATAAGTGTACTCAAACGTGACGTCATGCGACTTTTCAAATCAATATATCTCTGCAATGTTTATATTATGTGAAAAAAGAAAAAATACGTGTCCAATACCTTTTGATAATCTACTTGATAAATGAAGAAAAAAATAGTCATCATCCCTATTCATGATTCATGATAAAATACCAATTTTAAAAAATAAAATATATAAGATACTAAACAAGAAGATACTTAACTGGTTAAATATTATTGTTAATAAAATTAGTTTGTCAATAATGGGTCTGGTACGCGAGTGGTTCTCTGAACTTACGACCGGATTTAGTGTTCTCCCCTTTTAAATAATTAAAGAGCATGATAATTTGTTTTAGTTTTGGATTCCGAGGATTATTCTGTGATTGGGCATTTGTTTAGTAAATTACCTACGTAGATATTGTGCCGTGCGCATGATGAGGCCATCTTTAATTACAGTCCTATTATATCCTAACAATTAAGCATATGTGGTAGTATGTTTGTATTAATATAGTTGTGTTGATGGTCCATAAATAAATGAAATAAATAAATAATACTATGACGTTTGAGCGTAAATTTATTTGATTTCCAAACAAAGTATTATCTTATATTAGGTTTCATATACAAGGTATTCATAAGGTATACGAGGAGCTCGATGGCGAAAGTGGTTAGCGCGTTCGGCTGCGATCCTTGAAGTTAAGCAACTTTTGGAGTGGTCGGTCATTGGATGGGTGACCAAAAATTTACTATCTTGAGTTCCTCCGTGCTTCGGAAGGCACGTTAAGCCGTTGGTCCCGGCTGCATCTGTAGTCGTTAGTACCTGCCAATCCGCACTGGGCCAGCGTGGTGGGTCATGGCCCAATCTCCCTATTCCATCCATAGGGAAGGCCTGTGCCCCAGCAATGGGGACATTAATAGGCTGATGATGATAAGGCATACAAAGCAACAAAGTTATCCACTTCTATGTTTGTACAGTGGTACGCACGCTGTTCATAGCAACATACATGCGTCTCTTTTTTAGTCTATATGTAAAAATAAGAACTATGGTGAAGGTGGTGTGCAAGATGGTTGGTATATACCACCAGCTTGGAAAACCATTATACAACAGATAAAATCCCAACCCCGAGCACACACTGCAAGACCAAAAGATACTAAAAGTTCTTTTTGTTTGCATGATTTAACAAAAGAAGGAGATAGAAAGCCTTTCTTAGTTTCGTTTCGCCGGTTCTTCTCAGAAAGGTCTCCCAATTTTGGAACCGGTGGTACCTAGTTTACGGTAGTTAGAGTCAAATAAATAAACTCAAAATTATAAATAAAATAAAAAGAATTAAATAATGTACTTTGTTAATTTTAATTAGCTAATAAATTCATACATAGACAATGGTGTCGATTCTGGCATGATTCTCTAAACCTAAACGTAAATTTGACAACAGTGTATCCTTGTCATTCTCCATACAGAATGAAAAGGAGAGACTGATGTTAAATTTAGTTTTAAGTTTAGAGAATCGTGTCAGAATCGATACCAATATAGTTTTAAAAATCTTCCAATGAAATATCCGAATGCTTAATAAAAGTCTTTCGAAGGTAGCTCGAAAAAGTAAATAAAAAATCATCATTTTAACGACGCATTCCTGAAAAGGACGCGAAGCGTCAATAAATAAATAAAATCAGTGCATCTAACCCGTTGAAACTCGTTTTATTTAATTTATATTAGTCGACTTTATGAGTTGAATTTAAACTCTTTCTATGCTTTAGTTCTTATGAGGTTTCGATACCTAAGTTTGAACCTAATTTGTCATCCGGCGGTGACGTCACACTAACGTGTCCAATCAACACGCGACTTACTATCTCTACAGGCCGCCAACTTTGGCTATTTAGTTTAAAACACGCCATTTCCAAAAAAGATGTATTGATTTTTTTTTTTTTATTGCTAACACTCACACCAATTAGCCTAGCCCCAAAGTAAGCACTATTAAGGCTTGTGTTATGGGATACTAGGGTAACGGATAGAATACATATACTGTACATATATAAGTATATTTATATAGAATTACATATTAAACATCCATGACTGGAGTACAAATGCTCGTATTCATCACACAAACATCTGCCCCCACCGGGATTCGAACCCGGGACCTCTCGAGTCGGCGACACCATGAAACCCGGCGTACAAACCACTCGGCCACGGAGGTCGTCGATTTGAAACAAAAATTGATTATTATTATTGTACAGTTCTGCTGCTCTATCCAGCTGATGGTAAGAGGCCACCATAGCGTATAGACTCCCTACTCTGACCCTATCCCCTACCCTGTGGGGCCCTGAACCTATTCATCGACAGAAACACAACATCACCAAAATTTTTGTTATTTCACTGTTATCTTTTCTATAATATTGATGTTACTTCCAGAACTAACGCTCACCAATGCGGACTGAAAATCCGCTATGCCTGGTAAGGCACCTTCTCTCTCTCTCTTGAAAAGATATTTACCCTCCTACTCCTACCGGTTTCGACTACGAAGTAAGTCTAGTTTCTGTAAATAATAGAAGTGGTTGAGTTGAACTGAAAACCTTCTCTCTCTCTCTTGAAAAGATATTTACCCTACCACTCCTACCATTTTCGACTACGAAGTAAGTCTAGTTACTGAAAAGTAGTAGATGTGGTTGAGTAGAACTGAAAGGAATGGCTGATAAGATACCTATGAACTATGTTGTCTATACTAGTATCCAGATTAGCGACTTTGTGATAGGTCTGGCAGCTAAAAAACTGGAAGAAACAGTTGGCAAGGTACCCGTACGCCCTAAAATCTTTCAGCAAAAAAGTCGTAGGAATAGCGACCTAAAAGTAAAATCTTGTTACAAAAAAATTGCAAAGTGGTTGAGTAGAATTCTGAGAGATTATCTTAGATTAAAACAAAAAAGGTAGATACGGCACTAGCCTCACAAAAGTGATCCGCATAAATTGTGGTCCACGACCCTAATCGCTTTAGTCACAACTTGACATGCAAACGACGTACATGTGAACGCCAAAAAGAAATATTGCTAATGTTTTATTTTGTTTATATGATAAAACAATGCCTAAATGTGTTTTTAAAAAGTGCTCGAATTGCTCGAGAACTAAAAATAAAACCTAAGCATCACTTTTCATCCGTAAGTACTATAAAATATATTTTTTCATAAAAATTGCTGTTTGTTTTGAATCTTATTCGGTACTGGTCGCGGGATTGGTCGGTAGTGCAGTGACGCGGATCTCGCTGTGCCGTTCGCGCTGCCGTTGAAACTTAATGTGCTGTTTCGTTTGTTCGATTGTATCTTTACAAACAGGTGGATGTGTGTAGTAAAGTGGGATCAAATTTTGTTTGATGCAAGTATGAGCGTACCGTATCTACCCTTTTTGTTTTAATCTAAGGAGATTATTGTCAAAGTACCTGTGATCAGCGTTCTCTATCCTGGCGTCCAAGTTGGCGACCTTATAGTAGGTCTGGTTCCTGAAGTACAGCTGGTAGGCGTGGGTGACGAGCCTGGTGCGGAAGGCCAACGCCAGCCTGCCCTCGAGGTAGCGGATCATGGAGTTGGTGAATGTGGCCGGGATGGCGATGCCGAACCACTGCAGCAGTAATGCGGCGAAACGACGCAAGTCTTTCTGGACTATGTGCCGCACTGTTGACAAGGATGTTTCAATCTAAGTCAAAATTTCAAATTAGCTTGGGCGAACATGTACGTTAACCTGGTTCGGTATTCTGATCAAGAATTTGGAAAATTTTACTGCACATACAAAATGTTCAACAAAGCGCATACTATTCTTATTTGGTCAGAATGGAAAAAACCTAACCTTCGGATCGGACTCCAACTAATAAAAAAAAAACCACGGGTTGCACTCCGGGAGTGCCGGCAGAAGTGAAAACTTGAATATTAACCTTGTGCATTTTTGATATTTTGGAATGGTCAGGGAATAATTTTACACGAATTGCTTTAATTATCAGTATAAAAGTACTATCATGTATGTGGTAGAATACAATATTTATTTTTTGCGCTATCGTACACAAACATGACAATTTATATTACATTAAAAAGTTTATCTCTCAGAAAAATAAACTTACATGAATCACATTTAAGCGCACCTAGCGTATCATCTATTGTAAAAAAATGCATTATCTTCGCAATAAAGCTGTCACGTGGACATCCTAGATAGAGACTAATTATTATAATACGTTAAAAAAAAATATTACTATGTTTCGTCCAATATATTAATAGTCAACAACCTTTCCAATTTTATTGTGTGTCATGATGCGATCAGCCCACGTGTTTAACCTGACGCGAGATTAACATTTTTTACCCATACAAAAAAAAAGTGTACAACGCCGCTAAAGAAGTTTTCACGTCAAAAAAAATCGAAAAGTCTGCGTTAGGCACACGGAATTCCGAATCTGAATTCCTGTTCAGGAAACCGGACATGTGCGCCCAGTCTTAATTCTTCAAACAACCAAACAAAGTACGTTACAGGCGCTGACGCACCGTTCGACGTTCGAGCAGAGAATCAATGAAGAACATCGATACTGTTGAAAGCTTTAGTAAGAACAGAAAAGCAAGGTGTTTGATAAATTAAATTTTGCTGGTTTATTTAGTAACCTGGTTTATAACTGGTTTATAGATGACGTTGAAATTTTTTTATGTGCTATATTACGCAGTGCCTTTAATCTATATTGTTATTAGAAAAAAAATGACAGTATTAAGTTTAATATGACTCAAAAGTTGATTAAGGACTCCAAACGCGAAAGCAAGTACTGGAGAGCAGCTTTATAGCTATTAACGGGATTATTACCATGTACCTTGTTTTTATAGGTCTCCGATATTTCATCACTGTTGCAAGCGCTATGATCAGAATAGAATAGAATTTATTTGCAACAAACACGGTCTTCAAGGTACTTGGTTACAATCCCGTTAATAGCTATAACGTTAGTGACCATGAAAGTTTAAAACAATATGGAGAGCAGCTGTCTGTTTAAGTGTAATTTGACCACATGAGTGCAAACATTGCATTAATTTTACCTAACCTAAGGCCCCTGTTATTAATTAAACTAATGAAAATATAACTAGAAAAAATTCCACGTGGACCAGGCAGCAGACGGGACTCGAACCCGCACCCTTCGCAATGCGGGCGAATGCACTGACCAATTATGCTACCGCAGCCCTGATGGCCGCGTCGAACTTCTTCTAGCCATTCTTAAGCTGCAAGGCAGCGCCATCTCTTCGCATTATAGGTAACCCACAATGTCAAATGAATACTTTTACAAGTATTAAACATTTGAAAGAAGAAATAGCAATTATAGTAGTAGTAGTATTGGTCAGTGCATTCGCCCGGATTGCGAAGGGTGCGGGTTCGAGTCCCGTCTGCTGCCTGTTCCGTGTGGAATCTTTTCTAGTTATATTTTCTTTAGATTTAAACATCAAGCAGTTACATGCTTTAAAAAAAATCAAAATTATAATTAATTAAGCTATTTAAAATTCTGCATAACTTACCAATGGAGCCTTCCAATGATGCGACGTATATGGACAGGAGAGTTCTAGTGAACAAGCACAAAGTGTGCGCCGTGAGCAGGGCCACCTCTTGGGTACGGAACCCTGGCACCATGATCTTGGCGAGGGACACCAGCTGCCTGAGGAACTCCAGGTTCAACCCGGGGATATATTCCTCTTGGGGCGGCGTGGGCTCGTCTGCATCTGCCTGAGTATCGAGAAAACGGGTTTAATAGTCATTAAGTAATTGTTTATTTTTATAAATATCTAAAGATTTGAGCTTTTTTGAGCCATAGACATTTAGTATGCACTTGCAATGAAAGTTTTTAACACAGAAAGAGGTTTTTATATCGTCGCTTAAATAAATATATTGTTTCCATAAATGTTTAGGTATTTGCGATATTTAACGGTGTCGATTCGGACATGATTCTCTAAACCTAAACTTATATTTAACAACAGTGTTTCCTTGTCATTCTCTGTACAGAATGAAAAGGAAGGAATCAAACCAGAATCGCCACCAACTTGTAGTCATGATTTCCCTTGTCGGTATCCAGTTATCTTACTGCTAGAAAGGTATACTTATGTAGTAAACAGCGCGTGACCGTGGTGCCAACAATCATACGAATGACCTTTGCGTAGTAGCTATTGTGTATTTTTTTTCTGACTCAAGCGCACGTGCATAAACTTTTTTTAACAATCCTATTGTCATGTCCTTATCGCATTGCCATAAATTTATTTATGTGTCTTCTTTTGCTGTTTTGAAGGAATGCATTAATGTTTACCCCAACTGTTATAACGCTGAAGCAGGTGTGTCTTCAGACGTATCATATTTGATATTCTGGTAATATGCTGTAGTTAAGGCCCACATGTAGATCCTTGAGTTAAACCGAATTTTGGGCGTTTTGGAACCATTTTCGACACTATTGGAGTCACATTGGAGTTAATTGTAATTTTTTTGTCACGCCTGTCTCGACAATAATTATAGACATATCTTAATAATATTTTTATCCAGATGATATTCTGTTAGCAGGACGGTATCAAAGGCTTTTCGAAAAGCTATACATAACTGAAACACACTGGAACAGTTGAATAGAACTCCATATATAAGAATTTTGTCGGCAGCAGTTGGAGAAAAAACAGTATAAATCGCTTGTAACCATATAACATACTGCTTTAAAGTTAATTTCACATTATTTTTAATACTGCAGTGCTACTCTGTAAAATTTTCACAGAATAGTACTAGTGAACCGATTTATATAAATGCACGATTATAATTGAATGCATTTTTCGTCGCAGCTTTTGCAAAAACTCTTAAGCATTACTGAACTTCCTAAGGTTACAAATTATTAATATTTACGTATATTATAACTACGTTCTTATCTGTTATACCCTATATGATGAGCAGTAGGGTTGAATATAATGTACTCACAATATTCTGTTTGTTGTCAGTGTCAGCGTCGCCCCTGCAGAGCGCGCACTGGTCGGCACCGCAGCGTCCGCCGCATGTCTCCGCGCTACCTTCTGGTACTGTCTGGAGTTTGCCATTCTTCTCTACCTGCAAACACCATTATCAAAATGAAAACCATAAAGACCATTAAGATTCGTCTTACTTTCAATCGATAAAAAATATGAATAATTATATTACCTTATTCATCATCATCAGCCTATTAATGTCCCCACTGGTGGGGAACAGGCCTTCCCTATGGATGGAATAGGGAGATTGGGCCATGACCCACCACGCGAGCCCAGTGTGGGTTGGTGGGTGCTAACGACTGCAGATGTAGGGACCAACGGCTTAACGTGCCTTCCGAAGCACGGAGGAGCTCGAGATAGTAAATTTTCGGTCACCCATCCAATGACCGACCACTGCGAAAGTTGCTTAAATTCAACGATCGCAGCGGAACGCGCTAACCACTTGCGCCATCGAGCTCCTCTGTTACAAATTTATAAATATTATTATTACCAAATTACATTTTTTTTTCAGATCTATAGGAAAGGGAAAAAATACTTTTAGAAATTTAACTAACTTTATCAATCACAGCAGAACGCCCTAACCAGATCAATCGAGCGCAATTAGGGATACTATTTAAAAATTTGGAAAGTCCTGACAAAAACCCGGACATTTCGATAAATTTCCGGACATTTTAGTCGCAAACTCAAACATCACCCACTTAGTAACAGTGATATTATATGCGTGGTAACAGACGCTGGCATCGCGAGGGGAGTCTCGTTGTTGATTTTTTAAGATGATTTACATTTTGTTTTACATTAATGACAACTAAATAAAGATTATTTGACTGATTTGATATAACTTAATAAGTAGTTTTACTCATATTCCATCTAATTCAAAAAATCCAGACAAATTATAAAGCCGGACAAAATCCGGAAAAAGGGGGGAAAAGTCCAGACGTGTCCGGACAAATCCGGACGGATGGTAACCCTAAGCGCAATCGATATCATCAACTTCTTTTAAAAAAAATATGTGTTTGAAGTGAAACTTCTTTTCTTAAATAACCTAACATTAGGCGGTGCATAAGGCATTGTCACGGTAATATTATCTACACAGTATTGTGACTCCGCCCTGTCCTTGAAAATAAATGCCTACACCGAACGCTGCGTTGGCACGCGGTAGGGCCGCCAGCCTACAGTATTTTATGTAGTTTTGTTTTTAACGCGAGTGTAGGTAGATTACTCGTTTGTCTCTTTTTGCATCCTAACCACTTATTTATATATTATTCCAGATATTTACCCGATGGAAAAACCGAAATACCTAAATATTAAAAACAAATAACGTACTAGTAGATAGGTATATAAAAAATATTCTATAAAGGTAAGACACCTTTCCAATATTTCAGGTAATTTAAAAAATGATATATCTGGGTGTGTTATTGAAGAGTTCAAGCAACCAAAAACAGCAATTGTGCTGTTGTACGATATTGATCGTCGTTTGTTCTTTTCCATACTAAATTATGTAGGTATCTACTTAATTAAATCAAATATTTACAATACAAAACGCACGTTTAAGCACGGCTAACTGCATAAAAAACAATTCAGACCGTTCGGTCGTTGTTGCGGCGCGGCGGCGCATTCGCGACTGGGTGCACGCCGAGCGCACATCGAACTCGAGTGGCGTAGGTATGACTCGCTTTCCGACCGTTTGTATGAAGATAGAATACTGTATGATATTATTACCGTGGCATAGGGCAATAGAGCAGCGCACGCATCACTCATATAGATTTATATATATACACATATATATATGGAGTGCTCGTGACGCTCGTAGCGTTTCAGCCTAAACCGAGTTACCCTCCAACTTTCTTATCGGGAAGAGCTGCGCACGCATTCCATACATACACACATATACATATGACGCTAGTGACGCATATCCGTTTCATCTTTTCCTTAGGATTTTTCCATTTACACCCAGTACGAAAAAAAAGTTTCACTTAAAAAAAAAATACCTTATAGTTATTATTATTGTTGCATGGTGGCTGTTGTTTCCTCTCTCTCGTTCCATACAGGGCGCATGCTGCCAATGCCACTCCTACTCCAACACCCAACGCCACCGACGGCTGCACCCTCGACGCCTGCTCTCGGATCTTCGTCAGTATCGCCGGCATTTTGGTGAAGTTTATCAACCAACCACTATACCATCACTTATCGAGCTGCCACTTCTAATTTATCACATCAAACGTACTCCGATTCACTAGTTTCTTAAATTCCTTTAAGTATACTTAAAATAACAACTGTACAGAGATCGATTTTTTTATCACTTATGTTTATTGATCACAGATTATGCGGAGACTGGGTAATGCGTCGTCACTTTATTGTGATGTCTCGATACCGTTCGTCCATTTTTCTGTAACAAAACAAAGATATGTGTTAAACCTTCAAACATACTACATATATGTAGATAAGAATTCTATTTAAAACAACACATTCTCATATTGGAAACATAACGCAAGTGGCGAGCTGCCAAACCTTACCAAAATCATAGTAAAAGTACAAATAAACCGTGGTAAAAATATTTTAACCGACTACGACTTTTAGTAAATATTTTAAGCGATAGGTTTTCAAGTGGCTGAGGGTTCAATAAGGGTAGAAGGACCGGTGTGTACGACATAGCCCGAAGAGTTAGCACGCTGAATTGGCAATGGGCAGGCCACATCGATCGAGGATCTGACAACCGTTAGGTAAAAAAGGTCCTCGAGTGGCGACCACGTACCGGACGACGCAGCGTGGGGCGGCCCCCAACAAGGTGGACTGACGACATCGTCAAATGTGCTGGGAGTCGCTGGATGCGGATAGCGTAGGACCGCGCATTGTGGCGTTCTATGGTGAGAGGCCTATGTCCAGCAGTGGACGGAGAAAGGCTGATGGATGGATGGAAGGGTTCAATAGGTCTGCCCATTAAATACCAGATACGGCATCTTAGAATTTACGTATTTCAATCATCACGATTTAGTCCTGGTCGTAAACCTTAGTTTAAAACGGTACGTTAACTTAAACTATATTTAACAGAACGATCGCAGCTATCTAATGTTAGCGCCACATACAGAATATGCCCACACAATCCTAGCATCGTATCCATATCATTATCAGAAACATGACTACTCATACTAAATTCATTTGTCAATTATTTCTTTGCTGCGTCATATGTCATCATAATCTGCACTACAACTACGATAGTTGTCAATGTTGTTGTTTGATATGACCTAAAATGTTATGTTATCATAACAACTGTAATGTTTACTGGGAACAAAAGATAAGTACATACCGACTGCTAACTTCCGTACGAAGATGGAACTTATCGAGTAGGGACTGTAATGGAAGGTTACTCGAAAAAACGGGCTGCTGAGTTAATAGAACTTAGCAAGCCGAAAACCCGTGGTATTACGTAAGAGTCTTAACTGGAGAGTGCAAATTCAAAAGACTATAAATAAAACAAGTGTCAACAGTATAGATGCAATGATTTTATTTATTTTTTGAAGTTTCGCATACTTTGCAGGATATCTAATGAGTGATGTGCGTGAAACCTAAGAAACAAATATCAAAAGACTCTAATTTCATATGAAATTAAAATGAAATGAATAAACCTTTATTGGCCATCTTCCACAATACAAATACTATAAATATAAACATAAAAGAGAAACTTAGCCTAAAAACAAAAAATAACAACATAAAACTGAGACGGCCAATCAGGACCCTGCCTCAGTTTATGCTGACACATTGGGAGAATACTCTCTCACTGTATCAGCGCTGGTATTCTGGCAGGGCCTGTGGGAGGACGTGTTAGGCGCTAACAAGCAACAAAATAATTCATTTATCCTTATCTAATCATATTGTACTGCACACAGACATACACACACACACGCTAATATACATATATATATATATATATATATATATATATGTATATATAAACACACTACATACATATAATGACAATCCTAAATAAATAAATAAAGAAACGCAGCGCAGCAGTCAGAACGCACCCGCACCTCATCCAATAATGGTGTCGATTCTATCATGAGTTTCCAAACCCAAGACCAAACCCAACACCAGTCCCTCCCTATCATTTTGTATATATATGAAATTAAGTGGCACTGATACATACTGCAATCAGGAGCGTGTTACACCAAAAGAATCTCTATGTGAATGTGGGCCTAAATTCTTATCCACAAACGTAGTATTCATCTTGGATGACATATAACAAGCCCAGAGAAAATCAAATCTCTAAAAGCTAGGTACTTTAGAGCTTTTTTAAAATTGACGGGCTAAAAGAGATACTCTAACTTGGTGGCGAGTCACAATATATCTTTTAGGTGGCAGTGACTACAGTTCCACTAAGACTGCATAGCCTCAAAAATCTGAAATAATAATAATAGAAGGAATAGTTGATTATTCATATCAACGGATATTTTATTAAAGTGGCGAACGAGCTTACAGATGACCCCATGATGATGGTATGGTAAGCGGTATATTTCTAACAACGCCAGACCAGATTGTTGCTGTCGTTAGAATGTTTAACTATTCTACTACGAAAGTAACCACATATTTCACAACAAACTATTCTCACCGAAGCACAAAAAAACAAAGTCTGTTAAAATCAAATGAAGTCAGAGAGGTTGGAAAGAAATAAGAAAATTATAAAAAAGGTCAAAGCTATTCTACCAAATGTTGTTCATTTATATCTTAACAAATTTACAAAAAATACGCGTCTTACTTTCTAAATATTTCTTGCACTTACTACTTTAGAAGGGAATTTAAACGTGTTGATATTTTGTACGTGTGATCGTGCATATATAATTATGTTATCTACTATATAAAAATAAGTCGGGTTTTCCTTCCTGACGCTATAACTCCAGAACGCACGAACCGATTTCCACGGTTTTGCATTCGTTGGAAAGGTCTCGGGCTCCGTGAGGTTTATAGCAAAGAAAATTCAGCAAAATTTCAAAAAGAAAATCTTCTTTTAATCACCAAACGAAATGTTACATAAAACGAAGCCATCTGATGGCGAAACGGAGTTCGCCTGGTTTGCTAGTCTACTATATAAAAATAAGTCGGGTTTTCCTTCCTGACGCTATAACTCCAGAAAGCACGAACCGATTTCCACGGTTTTGCATTCGTTGGAAAGGTCTCGGGCTCCGTGAGGTTTATAGCAAAGAAAATTCAGGAAAAATTAAAAAAAAAATTTTGATCACCAAACGAAATGTTACATAAAACGAAGCCATCTGGTGGCGAAACGGAGTTCGCGGGGTTTGCTAGTAGTAATTAAAATACAATATTATGCACGACATTAAGATATGTATCATGAATACAGCACATCCTCTTTGCAGTAATAACCTTTTTTGTGATAAGCCGTAATATAAAACACAGTTCATATTTCAAAACAAGCATCAATTTTATTCGTCTCACTACGACCTTGTGCAGTACGCTCGGTATGTTGCGAAAAAACTGTATTGCAGAGATAGCTTTAATTAAATGCGATTTGTCGACAACGTAAAACTATCACTGTGTTATGTTTATCATTTGCAAATAAGGTGACACGTGCATGAATCACGGTTACTAAATATTCGCTACAGCTGTTTTTCAACGCGTGTCAAGAAACGCTGAAACGAAATCGGAAGGTGGCTGTTGTGAATTCTCTAAATTACGTGTAAAGTACAACGCCCAGTGGTTAAGATTGAACACCGCTAATTCAAAAAATCGCGCATACAAACCACCTGATGTAGCCGGGTAAACTTAAATACTGGTAAAGGTATACATTTGGCATTGTGGGTTACCTACAATCCGAAAAGCGCTGCCTTGCAGCTTAAGAAAGGCTATATAGAATGCGACACGGCCATCAGGACGGGATCATAATGGTCAGTGCATTCGCTCGGATAGCGAAGGGTGCGGGTTCGAGTCCCGTCTGCTGCCTGGCCCGCGTGCATTTTTTTCTAGTAATATTTTCTTTAAAAACAAGGGTTAGTAAACAGTGCTACGGGGCAGCAGCGGCACCCTTGGTTTTATTTCAACCCTCTTTTAACGTGCAAGAAAAGAGTTCGCGTATTCTGTCCCTTAATATTTTCCCTCAGGATTATAGGAATTTATGTTATTTACAGGATTACCATGTACCTCATTTTTAGCGAGACCCCGATATTTGACACTGTTGCAAGCGCCATGATCGTGGAGAAACTGATTCCTTTAGGATGTTTGTAAATAGATAGATAATAGTTGCAGACATTTGAAGATATTAGAGAAAGTTTTAAAGAAAAATCATTAAGTGTCATGGACACCGTCATTAAGTGTCATCGTCCGTGCGGTGACGGAGAAAGAATACAACTCACCGCCCCTTTTCTTCCCGTGGGTGTCGTAAGAAGCGACTAAGGGATGTCGGAGCTTCCATCCGCTCTTCTGGTGGTAGGGTGCCTAACACCCGCCTGGTTTGTTACCACCGTGCGCATGGTGAAAAACCCGTGAAGTGCTTCTCGCGCGTTTCGGGGTCAGCCAGCGTACAACCAGAGCTCGAGTGGAAGTTGTCGCGAAGGATTCGGTCCAGGGGAGGCATCCGTGGAACCGATGCCGGGAGGACTGCATCGACCCGTCGGCCAGGGAGACCCGTAGAAACGGCTGTCCCGCTGGCCGCCCGTGGCACAGTACAGGGGCCCGAGCGTTCCTAACCAGTTCGCGAGGCTGCCCCATCATGTCACGCATAATCTCGGGGTGGACCGTCGTGCCGGTTGGTGACCGGGGCGTGGGGTCCCGGCGGCCACTCCCGGGGGGGTGCGGGGGCCCTTCCGTCCGGCGGGTCGGCGCATCTCCACTGCAGGCAGTCAATCGGGAAGACAAACCCCCCTTATTTGCCCGGACTCTTCGCGACGGCGTCCGCTCGTTTTCGCGTCTCTTTTTTTTTCACTTCCACCATGGCAGCCTCAATAACAAAGTTTGGACGTACAGCGGTGCACACCCCCACGCCTTCAACGCTGTTTGAGGTCGAGTTCTGCAACATACACGGACTCCACTCTAACCTCAACGCTGTCCACCACCATCTCGAGACAGCACGGCCAGCATTGTTGTTCCTGACGGAGACACAAATACTTCCGCCTGCTGACACAGGCTACCTTAATTATCCCGGCTACGTGCTTGAAGAGTCCTTCAAAGCGAAAGCCGGTGTATGCCTGTATGTTCGGGCGGATGTTTGTTGTCGCCGTCTCCGCTGCTTGGAAGATCCCTCCTTCTCCATGCTGGGGGTACACGTCGACTCTGGCCCCCGGGCCAGAGTCTACGTGTGCCTCTACAGATCCCACACCGGCGATGTTGAGACAACTCGACTTTTTGAACACCTTAGTCGGGCAGCAGATGACGCGCAGG